GGGGGGGGTCCATGACCCACTTGGGAACACTCCCATATGGTTTAAAAACTGGGACTCTCCACCAGTTGCTCTTAAAACTGAAGAAACTTCTCAGATGAGAGGTGAAACATCTTCAAGGAAACTTAAAGAAGTCCAGATGCTTTTCTTTCCAAGCTCCTTAAAAACCTCTGTGGTTTTTTTTCCTATCAGCCATGGATCGGCCTCCCCAAAGCACGGACCTCAACATGACTGAATCAGTGTGGGATCATCATGACCGAGCACAGAACGAAAAGCAGCCAACATCCAGAGAAGAGCTTTTGAGTGTCTTTCAAGAAGCCTGCAGAACTATTTCTGAAGTCTAGTCAGTCCTAAGAAAGCATTCATTAGCGTTCCAGCTGTTCTGAAGAATAAAGGCGGTCACACCAAATGTGAACTTTCAAGCTTGTTAGAATTGTACAAAGTCTGTTTTTACCGTTACACTGCATTTCCATGTATGTTTGCATGTTTCAGTAAATCACTCCACCTACTTCTTTTTCCCAAGCAAAGTATAAACAATTGTGACTCAAGAGTTTTGGACACTGATTTATTTATGCCAACAAACTGCAGGAGGACTGAATTTCCACAGCTAGAAGATTATTATTAAATATTAAAAATGAGACCCTGTTCATCATTAAACACTCGGCCTATCCTGTCTGGTTATATGTGCTCTCTTTCATTCAAACATAGAACGTTCCAGAAACACAAAGAATCATAAAATCACAAAATGACTATTTATCATAACCTTTGCCAAGTTTGCTAAAATAACCCTGAGTAATCCTGGAATAAATCCTTAGAAATAAATATTTAAAGTGCACATGACGTTAGACTGACCTGATCGCCATCGTACAGCGTCTGTAGAGGACTCCTCCTCGACTTCTGTCTGCTGCTGCTTTCACCCACCGCCTCTGAGGCTGAGGAAAAAGCACATCAGTTATGGAGCCGTCACCGCTGAATTATCACTAACAATGCTTTTGTGAATGTGTGTCATCACGCCCAAATGTGGTCCTGTGACCCTGACTGTGGTAGTTTGGCTGGTGTTCATATTTCTGTGGACACATTTTAAAGAAAATATGCACGATACATTTGCAAACTGTCAACATGAGGTGAGTTAGAAGGCGGACGGTGTCCATCCCATGTTTACCAATCAGTCGCTGACTTCGCGCTTTTATTGAAGTTTAACATGCTGCAGCCTGAAGGGGCGTGAGCTTACTGCAGGGTTTCAGGGAGGAACAAAGGCCGAGGATAAAGAGGTGCAGCGCAATTATTTTATTTGATCATTCACTGAATTACTGAATGCCAAAATTATAATTAGCCAAATATCCTCAAGCAAGAACCCAAGCAGTACACAAGAATCAGCTCATTTACTATTTAACTACTACTGTTGGTGTTAACTACCATTATCATAAATAATAATACAGGGTGGTATATCATTAGACAGATAAAACAGGAGAATAAAGTGCACTGTAGAACATTAACACAAACTGAGCACAAAAACGTTGCACTGAAACAATAAAGTAAACTTTCATGGTTTGTTATCGCTGCTTTTATTTGCTCGAGTGCTTTAGAAACGGAACAAGAGTTTTGGCCGGGCAGAACATTTCATTTTCCACGTTATGTCAGACTCAAGTTTGAAAGGAAGGATAAAAGGACCTTATTTATGTCCTTTGGCTTAGAGCCATCATTTGTTTCCTTCCAGATATTGGACATGTATAGAGTTTCACCACATGATCCTCAGATTTAATCTGGGTAAAGGTAGTCGATCTGTTCCTCCTAAAAGCTGCAGGCCTTCGTTGGAGAAAAAAAAAGAAAGATGCAAAGGCGTGCGGCCTGGTTTGAAAAGGCAGTGGTTGCTTCACTCCAACTCAAACAGTTTCATCATAGTTAGAAAAATGAAAACGAGCTCTCAGAACAGCATCTACCATCACGTATTCTGCACTCCAACCTGCCTGCAGTGAAAGCAGAGATGAGCACCACGCTGCTGAACCATGACTCACTGACACAACAGGGAGCAGCAGGACTCCAAGACACTGCGAACATCCCCACAGGAGCACAGCTTATTTGATTTACAGAACAAGCTCATCACATCGAACACTTTCCGGCCACAGATGTAAGGTTACAATCAACACTCACGAGACTGAGTTACTGAGAGAGACACTTCCATCTGATCTGCATGCATGTTGTGGACGTAGTCACTTTCTATAAAAGCCATATCTTCACTCCATCTGCAGCGTAGTGTGGAGGTTATTTGTCTTTTCCTCAGAGATAAACACAGATAGCCCCGCTTCATCAGATGTTCTTTTATGAAAAACGCACACTCCCTAAATGAAACGCAGATGTATTCTGGTGTGTTTAGCCAGTAAGTGTTAGCTTGAAGATAAAACTGCAATCTGTCCCCTTCTTCAGATGAGATGAGTCATTTTAGTGTTTTAAATTATGAAGTTAGCCAGGAGGCACTTCGTTAGAGCAGCGGTCCCCAACCTTTTTTGCGCCACGGACCGGTTTATGCCCGACAATATTTTCACAGACCGGCCTTTAAGGTGTCGCGGATAAATACAACAAAATAAAACTAGTACCGGTACCGAAAAAAGAAGATTTATTCATAACACACGTGAAAAGACCCAGGAAAACCGAGTTAACGATAAAAACGATAACAAAATAACGCTGAAAACTGATAAAAACCCTGAAAACCATACATTTCACACCTGAGCCTCAACTCTCGCGACCCGGTACCAAACGACTCACGGACCGCTACCGGTCCGTGGCCCGGGGTTTGGGGACCGCTGCGTTAGAAGACTGGGAAAAGAAACAGCTAGCGTGGCTCTGTCCAAAGATCAGGCAATCTGAAGCTGCTGTGAAAAGCTCACAGAATAAGTCCTCATGCTGCTGATTCAGTTGAAGAGGGTTAGGTTTCCAGTATCTCGCTGAACTCAGACCACCTGGTGCAGTGTTGTAGTTTCATGGTGACATCGGTGCCTCTTTCTGGAAAATCCAGCATTGAACCAACTTTGCTTTTAGCGTGCGTGTCGATTCCAGGAAGAATAATCCCTGCAATTAGTGATCCCTTTCTACACAAGTTAGACCTTGCTTCAATTCATGAACTTCCCAGTATGTTTGACGATTCAAGGAATTCAAGTATTCAAATACACACACACACATGAAATTTCCATATTTTCACTAACAAATGTTCACCCCTTGCTGCTCAGGAGGTTCAAGCGATACAGGCAATAATCCATTGAAACTCATTCAGAAAACTCCATAAATGTTCTTCTGTATTGCTGCCATTTAAATTTAACTTGACTCATTTTTCTGAAACCGGAACTCTTCTTGCTCCATAACCACAATGTGAAGAAAAATATCACATTAACTGTTTAATGATTACATCCATTTTCACAAACTCCCCCAGTTTTAGAGGCTCGAAATTCACTGACAAGCAGTCCAACAGCCAGGTTCCCTCATTATCGACAGCAAACTAAGCAGATAAAAGTCGTATTTGAACTTGTTTCAAGTGTTACACAGAAGCAGTTCACTGGACCACTATGAGGTCCAAAGAGGCTCAGTTTCAGACAAATGCTCCGAAACTGTTCAGACAGTGTATAACAATGCAAACGGATCATAACCCAAATCTCAGGGCAAAGAACAGAGTCGGTCACCTAACATCAGCCCAGCATGCTTTTCACTTACTGAGACCAAAAGTGAACAGCAAACCTCAAAGAAGGAAGCATGTGATGATGTCCACAGGTGCTGGACTGCAGGGATACCTGTCACTTTCAACAAATGAAAAAGGGGGATTATTTATAAAGTTCGGAATGAATAAAGTCTGTCCCTTCAATTAACATCTTCATCATTTGATTTAAAAAAAAAAAAAAAATCCACTTTAGGATTTGGTTCTTTTGTCTTGAAGCCACTGGCTCATGGCTAAACTCAAGTTTAAACACAAAACTTCCTGTTAGAGACGTGCTCTTCACAGCGCATCAACAATGAAATGACATCAGTTTGCTCACAGAGACAAGGCCAGGCTGCTTTTCCCTGGAGTAAACATCTGCAAGCAGCTGTGTGGCTGCAAGTCCAGATTGAGCAGTGCAACTCAGCACTAACTGCCCATTGAACAAATGACTTCCTGTGCTGTGCCATTATTCAAATGGCAGTATGCACAAACGCCTTATGTACAAATCTGCCTTTTATGCAGTCATTACGCTCCAAACTTGCACGAACAGCAACATTTGTCATCTGGAGACAATTAGATTTACAAAAGCTCAGGATTTGTTACTAATTAGCTGCTTTAATTGGAGACAATGATGCTGTAATGGTGGAAACTGCACAGGCCCAACACTATTGAGCACAGGCTACTGTTAGACTCAAGTGACCACATGTGTGCACCTCTCTCCTCCCTGTGGTGTGGTCAGGTCACTCATGGCAAACTGGTTATGAGCTGTAAACACGCTCACTGCAGGCAGCGCAGCATGCAGTAATAAGCATACTACACAGAATCATTGAGAATACCTGCGAGAGACACACAGTCGATCATACAACTGAAATCCCAGGTCTTTACTAGCTTCTAACAGCAGGTGAGAGTAACTAGAGAAATGCTGAAGCTGTGCAACAGTATTGGGCACTGATATATGATCTTTATACATCTTATTTCAGACACTTTCATATATACACTTGCATTCCAACATGCACACTCCATCCCCATGTACTTATTAACATAATGTATGAATCTGGTCAGCGTAGCGTTGTCTATATCAAGCATGCCAGGTGCAGTTACTGATAAGGAGGAATGCAACAGTAGACCGTGACTGTTGCATCAGCCGCCTCATTTTGCAATCTTTTACAACTGGCCAGCATTCTCACCACACATTAAGGCTGCACAGTTAATGGAATTTTAATCTTGATCATGATTTTAGCTTCCCACAGTTAAATGAACACGATCACATAATATTTAAAATATGTGCTCAGCCAATAGAATGCAAAGCAAAAAGCAAATCAGGAGCTCCAACTGCATGCCAGCATGTGACAGTCACAGGCGTTCTGAAGTGTCCTGGACCAGTAAGACTACGTTCAAAGATATACAACAGAATTCAAATGTCTGCCACACTCATGCCTCGAAGTGGATCATCATCATCATCATCCATTTTTCAGAAATACTCTTAAGCAATCAGCTGGCTGAAAAACCACCAAAAACTGCAGTTCTAAATAAAACTCGGCCAAAACAAACAAACAAACAAAAAACAAACAAAAAAAACAAACAAACATGGCTGCTGACGTGAACTGTCCAACATCAGCTCCATAAAAGTCCATTAAAGCGAGCATGCATACTGTGCATCAGCGCTCACAAAGGTGCACTGACGTCACCAACATCTTTGCCAAAGATTCACTCAAACCAAGTGAATGAACACCAATACTGACTAACAAGTGATCAAAATGATCACTTTGACCATAATCGTTCAGCCCTACCACAGATATAGCACTAAATGTTAATGTTCAGTTCAATAAAAATATAAGCTGCTCAGTGTTAGCTTGCACTGGCTTCTACCCAGATAGCAACCATTAAAACAGTTTACAGTGTTTCCCACTTAACTTGAATGCACCCAATTTAGAGGCAAAATTCCCAGTCTGGCTGCAACTAAAGTTATTCAGGACCAATTTATAAAAGCTAAAAAAGGGATGCATTGCATTTCGTTCTTTTGCACTCTCTCTTAAAATACTGTGTGGAATGACCCATGGAACTTAAACAAAGCAGCCATTTCCCCAAAACACCTAAAAAAAAAACTGCACTTATTTTGCTAAAGTGAGTTCTGTTTTCAGTCAAATTTGGTCAATGTCAACAAATCTGCACATGGTCTTCTGTCCAGTCTTTGAAGCACAGTTTGCCTGAATTCGGACAGGACAGCATTGGCTCATATCAAACTTG